TAGGAAAGATTTATTCCACAGCTTGCTAAACGGTTTCGGAAGTATTTTACCTTTGTCTGTTAAAAGTTGAAATTTAAACTTTTTTACATATATCATAGATATTTTATAGATATATATATATATATATATATATATATATATATATTTTACATTATTGTATTAGTCTTAGTACTAAGGATAATGTACATATATATTTTTTGTAAATCAATAAATAGTAATAAATAATTGCGCTGAAAGGGTCAGCTCGAGAACTTGCAGTGAATTTTGAACCAAAATATCGGTATTTGAAAGCTAAGTCTAGTTAAATTCGAAAACAATAATAGTGAACATTCTATTTTGCTTTTATTGTGAAATAGCAATGCTCTGGCGCTCTTGTTCAGAATATGCAGTGAATTCACTTCTCACTGCCTCACTTGAATAACTATTACACGAGAGACTACATTCAAAGATGTGAAAAGAAATGACCGTATTTTAAGAGTTCTGTTCCCGAAGCGGAAATGGATTCTTCGATATTCCTGCTATGTTCCGTATTTCTACTATAAAAGACATTTCTTAACACCACAAGGATTGTAAACTATTTCGGAAAAAAAGGAAAATTTGTTATTTTTAAAACCTTACAAAAATGTTACCTTTTTTACTACCCAAATTTAAATGTAACGTAATAAAAACCTTTGGGTTTTTTGGTTAAAATGTAACACTATTTCAAAATATCTAACTGATATAACAATATTCTCAATTATATTTTAATGTTCTTCAAAAATGAAATTAAGTGAAATTATCTATTTCTGGTAAACCACAGGAAGTATTCTAATTAGTGTGAAACTCTATATGAAAGGTTATATATTAAAAAAGGTAATAAAACTTTAAAGTGTGCTTTGGACTCTTTCATTTACATAAGCTACCACGTGTCGGTACTTACTACTTAGCGAAGACAAGGGACAGAGTTTCGAGTTATTCCACTTTGCCCACTTTGCACTTTAGAGGGTCAAGTAGAAACCTTTGATCTCTCTTCAATAGACTGAAATTATATGCAAAATGACAAAGAATTTTACGTTATGGCTTTATCTCGTTAGGTACAGAATATATAAAATAGTACGTTTCGCTTAAATGCAGTGTTGACCTAGAGCCTTCAGCATCTCTCATCTCTCATTCGAATCCTGGCTGTGCACCAAAAGTGGATGGCATGTGTCGGGCACTGAAGTCTGATCACCTTTTAGAAAAAAACAAATAATCATGATGATCTGAGTTCCAGACCTAAAACCTCCAACCTTTTTTTTACTTTAATACCATTCGCTAACTTTTGTATTTTCTGTATGTTTATGGAAAAATTTAATTTCGTTTATATACAATAGTCTGCATTTTTTAATATTATTATCATCTAACATTATAGGCAAATAATACTCGGAATGTGTCAGGCACAGAAAGCTGATCACGTACTTGAAAAATAAAGAAACATTACAAATGATGCAGCACCAGCAATGTGTCAATTGGGGATAATAGATACTTATTTAAGTGTGGGTCCAACTATAAATTGTATCATTTCTGTATTCGCAACATTCGGTTCGATATTGATTGGTTACGCTGAAGCGTGACGTAACTCCAAATGCAGAACTTGCTCATGTAACCACAGATTACATGAATAATAAGCTTACTGAATAAACTATTTATCATTGAGAGAAATCCTCGGATTATCACATATCATTTAAATTTGATATTAAGATGCTACTGATCAAATCCCAAATCACCTTGGAATGCAGGACAGAATTTTGGGGGACTACTACGCATACTGATAAATCTTTAATCTTTTGAGTGACGATCATTTAGTCAGGTTTACACACAGCCAACTAGATTCGGAATCAGATTAACTAGTATGACAATCAAGTGTGAGAATTGAATTAAACTCCCAACATTCCTGTTATGTAATTTTACATTGCACAGTTTCAAAATTGGGTGAATGGTTCTGTGTACGCCTAACGAGTAAATGGGTAACGAGATAATGTTTGGAGCGAAATCGGCGCTGCGGTTTCAATTGCTATATTGAATTAGCTTTATTTGGATCCTCTTTCGTTTGTATTTTAAATTTATAGTTAACGTTCTATTTTTAAATTATGAAACCACAATAAGTACTGTGTATACACGCTCAATACATTCATAATAACAAGTGACTATATTTAACTGCCCCTATATTTCAAATCGGAAGCCTTACATTCTAATTCTCGACTCTGAATCTTACCTTTAAAGCCTTGCTACGGTTCTAGAGGATTTATGACTTATAATGAGAGCGAGTGGCAACACACAGCTTTAACAGGATGAAACTAGTGCATACGTTTAAATAAACACGTATTTTTTTAAACACGATATGGGTCACGATTTTCTACTTATAAACTTTAAACGCAAAGCAATTTATTGCGGCGTACGTTGAGCTTTTGAATAAGCTTGCATTCGACAATTTTATAACTAGTGGGTTTCGTATTTCATTGGATTTTTAAATATATTCTTTTTGTAGTATATTATAAATCGATTAACAAATCATCAGTCCCGACACGACGCTGATTTTTGGGACACCACCGAGAAAAAATTCCGTTGGTGCAACGCCGTGGTTGTAGCGTACGACCTCAGGGTTGGAGTAGCAAGATCAAGCTCCTACGTCAATGCAGCTCTGTATGTCTATTTACTGTACTTTATTTTTCTTAACATACCTACCTTTCTAACACTAGAACTGTAGGTATGTTTTAAAAAAGCATATAAATCTGCCTCTAGGTCCTAGAGGACCTGAAGACAGGAGAAACAACAGGAGGTTACTAGGGCAAAGTCTGAGCACAGTGCCAGATTTGGCGAGAGATTGGCCCGCCTCCCTTCGGGGACGCAATCCTTCTGGCCTCTCGCCAAAGCAGCTCAACTATTACTCTCCTCTCTCCTTTATGGGTTGCCTTGATGAGATCGCTTATAAGCGATAAGGCCGCCCGTTTCACTTAGCGTTTAGATTTATTCCCGTAATTTGTTTTTATAGAGTGCAAAGAAGTGTAATTAAAAAAATGTATTTATTTAATGAAAAAATATTTTGTTAAAGAACTTCATTAATTTAAATAAACCCTAATAATTTTTGAATGAACCTTGAATTAAGTGAAGCGAAAATAATTTGATTTTTATTGAGCGTTTTTTGTTTTTCACTTAATTACCCCGCCATAGATGAATGAAAGAAAATTTAATAGAAATTTATTTGCATTATCCGAGTTAAGTTTGGTGGCGGTTTTTGTATGGGTAAGTTGAAATAAAACACTTTGTTTAAAGCTGGCTGGCAACTGGCTTTAATTGATTAAAACATGAGCTTATAACTAAGATAACATTAGGGGTAGTGTGTGAAGTTTCAACGCTGGATTATCAAAACTCTAACTTGACTTATCTATGGGTTAATAAATATAAATTACTTTTATGTTATTGGACATAATAGGAAACGAAAATGTTAAAATACAATTTATGAGTGAGGTAAATACTAAAGGGCTCATATTGGCTTCAAATGTGCGATGATTGTTTACATTTTGTTTACGCTTCTAATTATTAACTAAACTATATTTATGTAACTTAACTAATGTAAGGTAACATAACTTTCGCTAAGAGTTTAATATAAAACTGATAACGGCTCTTTCTTATTCTTAAACGACATCATTGGAAACAAACAGCATACAATAAACAAATATTCTGTACACTGTGTCATGTCTAGTAATTATGTATAAGTGTGCGTCGCTTGTATGAACCACGTGAATATTTAATGTGTACGGCCCTTATTTTCCCTGGTTAGGCAATGATTAAATATTTCAGGATAATCAGAGACATATTCGATTATCTTTTCGTCTCTTCTTTCGTGTTGTTCAGTAATTGACAATGAAGCTGCTATTTATAAACTGAAACCTTCACTATTACTTTCAAAAGCGGCAGCCCTACCGAAGTTTTTGTTTGCAACTTCGACGTGATTCAACGTCCGTAACGCTAATGTCATAACCTTGGAAAGGCGCGGACTAAAACTCATTATTCAAGTTAAGTCAAAAATCATTAATTCATGTAGGTAACACAATGTACACTTATGAACGTCAAAAAAGAAATTTACATTAAATGCTTCTAATTTTACATTTACTGCCTGTTCTCAAATCAAGGATGTAGAACGGAAGAGAAGAATTGGCAATAAACTCTCCGCCACTCTTTTTAATCGCCAAGTTTTTTGTTTTACACAACGTTGGTAAGGAGCTGCAACCACCATGTTCCATATGACATCTTAAGTAATAAATAATAATAAAATAAATTAAAAACAAAGATTTGTCCTCTGTCAGCGAACGATGAGAATGGGATCGCTGTCGGTACTGGAAGTTACCGAGTACCTACTGCCGCTAGTCTTATTCATAATAGTGCTGAAAGATTAATGTTGTAGTTGTAGAGTAAAGAAATAAATAAGTAAAAGTTGAAGAAGAAAATTAATTTTACGAATCGTTTGAAATAAATAAATATTATGAAGGCCTTAATTTTAATTCAGCTGTTAGGAAACCGGTATATGTAGACCCAAAAATCATCGACGTGTCCGCACAGAAGGCTGATCTCGACGCGTGAGCAGACTGTATCGAAATATACAAACAAGGAAAGCACCAGCTCTAGATAAAGAATCTTAATTTAAAATCCAATGAAATGCGAAAGTAGTTACAAAATAATCGAATGGATTATTGTGGATTATGGATGGATTATTGTATTAGGAAATACTCAAATGGTCAATGTTTGAGATGACATATTCATAAAGATTTAAATCATGAATGTGTGATTCCCACACTGACATTTTTGATCCGCCTTCAGATGTATACTCCGTTCTATAACAGGATACTAAACCCTGGATATAATGGTATCTAATAACAAAGTTTTAGAATAATCAATCAGTCGAACGTAGAATCTTTATTAGAGTCACACCTTTCTTACAACGTTAAATATTTGTTTGATTTCACAAATCTTTACCCTTGCAGGTGTATCGTTGGTGTTCATGGTGACGGTGCTGCCGGGCTTACTCCCGTGGGGTAGAGGAGGGGGCTGGGGCTGGTTCCTCTCCTTATGTCATCTGCTTGGTGCCATGGCTCCATGGTGCGGATCCTTTCTCTACCACCTATTCATGAACCACACTAGAGGTGCCAGTTTATACCATAAGCTCCTCCAGTTGGATATGCTTGGCATTTGGGTCAGCCAAAGTATAGGTGAGTATCTTTCATTTAATTAAAACGCCTTTAATATAAACGCCAGTTTGTTACATTATTTACATAAATCGGCAACAGATGGCGCTGATATGGCCACATTTCAATAGATGTTACTGCATCAAGCCCAAACAATAATCATAAGTAATATTTGTCCTCGAAAGCGTAGTTGTAATATGTATTACAACAAAAATGGACTGATTAGCTTAATTAGCTGTGTTAACTAATCAGTCCTTTTTTTGAAAACTTACCTCTTCCTTTATATGGGTTAAACTAATAGTGTCACATACAATGTTGGATAAAAAATACTCCAATTTTGATACTCCTTACGGTAAAAATCAGAACAAGCAATCCTTAATTTTGTACATAAAGCTGCATATTGCAAAAAAAGTTTATTTTTGATTTTGTACCACGTGAAACCAAATGACATCAGCGTTACGGCTATTATAAGAACTATACATATTAATATACATATTACCTAATAGAAAGTAATATATTAAAACAGGTCTGTCATCATACATACAATCGGCGCTGGAGACAATTGACGACATTATCTTTATTCTTGTTTATATCTTCTCTTCGATTCCGTTATCCCGTATTGTAATTATTTATGTATTAGTAATCTTACAGCTAACATACATATTATAAAACAAAACACTTAGATATACAAAGCCAAAACCGATGACATAGATTAACAATATAAATAATATGAAACAGAAAACATAAGTAAGTACATTCATACAGAAAAACATTTTAAAAAATTAAAGAAAACTGAAACTTAAAATTAAACAAATTAGTAGAATTGGTTTGACGTTTAAACATTATCAGTCTAACTAATAAAGATTTATGCACATCGTATAAGCCTGTTATAAGAAAAAACCGGTCGCACTCGGGGACTGCCGCGGAAAAGCTAGCAAGTTTTATGAAATTATGCAATTATAATTATTTATTTATGCAGTATTTTTTTCTTTGATATTAATTCAATCACTAATACGCCTATATAGTCTGTCTCACTCTAACGCGTAACGGCGCTTTCGCTACGTCACCGATCACGCCAGACCGATGTGAAACGGAGTCTGCGTTCTGTTCCACTCTAACGCGTATTGGCCGCACCTATATTACGTCATCGTGTGTTAGGTTTATTTTCGTTACCAAATTTCTTGATTAGGTCGCCGCTCTCAAAGCCTACGACAAAATCTATGCAATAGCTTAAAAAATTACTAATAATTCCTGAATAGGCATATCTGATGTAAGCTGTTATGCCAAGTGTTTTGTTTGTATAAAGACTTGTAGAATGCTTATACAACGCAGAGGCCTAGTTTAACGGGTGTATAAGACAAATATATATTTAGATATTATTATCACATAAACTGACTCTGTACTCTGTAATAAAGCTACATCAACTAGCGAACGTTACTTTACATTATACGAATTTTAATAACACATGATTAATTTACAGTCCCATTATATATTGTATACTTTGGTACAAGATGCTGCATTTAATTAGAACCATCCCGGTAGTGATTAATTAAGCTCTTGCCTTCACAAGTGCGCTATTTAAAATCTTAATTACTTGCTTAAAGTTTTCGGTAAAAATGAAAGCTTTTACAAGTTGTAACCTAAATTACGAAAGACATAAAGTTACTTAGATTACATAACTAAAAAGAGCTTTCAGAAATCATATCATTTATTCATGTAACTTAATGTACACTTATGCACATCAGTTAAAAATGTATGGTTCCAAATTTACATTTACTGACAGTACTTTCTCAAATGAAGGGCGTAGAACGGACGAGAACTGGCAATAAACTCTCCGTCTCTCTGTCACTTTTTATATAATATATGTATATGCATGCTTCTGCAAACATTACATCGGGCTCCTCATCACATGGTATATTCAGTCGATAAGTAACGAAACTAACAAGACGTATATAATATATATATTGCAAAATGGTCATGATACATAAGTATTCTATTGTTAAGAATTCCTTTTTGATATAATCATTTGTACATTAGTACAGGCAAATTGAATTGCAAAAAGGCAATTGTGAATACCTATATAGATTTATGATAATATCAGGAGTTCTTTTAACATTATCCAACAAATTTCTTTGTTGCGTGTAATAAAAGACATGAAAAGAATGTGATTTTGGGAAAATATACTTTATTATTTCGCTATTTTTGTTGCTGTGCGGTATTCATAGACCCGTTACCCGATATAGACTTTGATTTACTTAATATTTCTCGGGTTAATAAAATGAAAGATGATGCCGCATTTTGTGATACTTTTCAAACGGAAATACGGATCGTATCGCAATTCTAATTACGCAAGACATATTATCCAATCACAATTAAGCGAACGATAGCATAGTTAGATATATATCGTTTTACGTATAACATTCTCAAGTATTATATTAAAGAATTCTCAAGCCTTCCACGTATTTGGTCGATTCATTATTTCTTTTTCTAGAAAAAGTTCAAGGAATTTTGCTTCAATTGCTTTTTAAATTATAGTTGCTACTAGCTATACACCGAAGAGTATACACTCCATTAGAACTTAAGCGGCTTATTAATGTCTGTGAATAAGAATTCTTCATTTCTATAGACGGCCTTTAAAGATATTTATCGTTATAGTTAAGTCTCAAAAGTTTTTATTAGCATATATATTATTATAACGCGCTTCTCTAAAACGAAAACATTCCCACAGGATTGTGTACGAAACTCTCGCGTGAGTATTAAATATTTAAAGGAAAAGGGGATATATTTCGAACGAATGGAGGGTTATTCCTGGCTCTGCAATAACATTGTATATGCTTTACGGAATGTAATTTGGCTCCGATGATACTGTTTATAACACATTTGCATGATTCCCACACAGATTCATGATTGCTAGGCTCGTGTTGAGAGGATAATATATATATAATACAGAGTTAAAGTTTGGTGCTAAGTATGACTTTCGTATGTCAAAAACGTATTTGCGTTTAATTGGATCCACTCTTTAGAAGGTTACTTAAGTTAAACATAAAGATTAAAACCATATTACCAAATATGCCATCGCAATAATTCCTAGCTATTTTAATTATGGTCAAAAATAGGCGTTGATTGACTTCAATAATTTCTTGTATAATCATTAATATACTAACTAATGACATTTTACATAAGTATATATTTTTTCTACTTTGCCGGTTTTTTGCCTCTACCAAACATTAACCATCAAATGTTAATATTGCTCAATAATTTGTAAAACCTTATCGTCAGTGGTAAAAAATCCATCATACCGAACACATTTTCGAGAAAAAGTGTAAGAAAATATTTTCCTCATCTCATTTCTATGCTGAATAACTAGAAAGTTTCTATTGATTGCTCCGCTCAGCCTAACCTTATTTACATAAATCTTTCCTGATCTGAATATTGTTGAACCCACAAAAGCTTCGGCATTCAGCAGTAATGTGCACGTGCCGTAAATGTCAGGTCAAGAGCGGCCGTTGCAGATCGCATTATGAAACACTAAAATATTTCTTAGCTATTTAAAGCTTTTCGATTTTATACCGGCCTGACCTCTGTTGCAGTGACCCGCATGTCTATACGTTGCGGTAGAGAGAAGTTAAAAGAGAGTGTTAGGCCCTTTCTCCACTGCTCCGGTCCGACGTCGCATACCGGAATGAGTCATGAGAAAAATATCGGAAGGCCGGATTGCGCTTTTCCACTATATCCGATCCGACAATTATCGATACTTGTGTATTTATCAAGCAACACTTATTTACTAAAACCCATATACTTAATTTTATAAAAAAAACGTTCTAAATTCTGAATATTTTATTGCCCTGGCTAGTTATTACTTTTTTTTATATTGTCTATCTTGAAATATTATAATCTACTTAATAAATAATTCACTAATACTATGGTATAAAAATATATTCTATAGATTATATAGATTCTTTCAAATTAAAGAAACTATAAATAAACCTGTGATTAATAATTTGTAACCTCTTGGATATACTTGGACCGATAAAACACCGCGTTCCGATCTAGCAAGTTATCGGATCGTTAAAAACCGGATGGCGGGGCAGTGGAGTGGTTGTGAGTTTCAAAATCGGATCGGTAATTAACGTTTGCCGGACCGGAGCAGTGGAGAAACGGCCTTAGTCGTGTGATTAAGCGTGCGAAGTTTGAGTTATGCTTTCCAAAATCCTTTGGTCTGTGTACTCCCGGTTCATTTTATTAGGTGCGCATTTAACACTTTCTTGTTCGGAGAACGATAACATCATAAGGAAATCAAATATTATTTCTATAAAATAAAATAAATATATCAGTGGCGCTAGAACCTTTTTAGGTCTGCCACAGTTTTCTGTATCTGTTTCATGATCATTAGTCAAGTCGATGATCAGCCTTCTGTGCCTTACACACGCCGTCGACTTTTTGGGTCTAAGGCAAGCCGGTTTCCTCACGATGTTTTCCTTCACCGTACGAGCGAGTCTTAAATGCGAAGAAAGAAAGTCCATTGTTGCACAGCCGGGAATTGAACCTACCACCTCAGGGATGAGAGTCGCACGCTGAATCCGCTAGTCCAACACTGTTGTCTAATTTCTATAAGTCTATCCAAATATACCTCCAATACATAATTATGAGTTATAAAAACCATTTTACTGTATGAGATACGACATCCATTAACTCGTACTTTGCATCATGCTGATGATGCTGATCTGATAAACAAGATGAAAAAGAGATATTTACATACTATTTTCAATGGTAATTCTCGAAATGATTTTAATCATCATCGCATTCAGGCATTGTAACTTTAATAAAACAGTAAAGAATATATCAAATAAAACATTCTGCATTTTCCGCAGACTAACTTTAGTCCCAAAATAAAAGTGCGACACGAACTGTAGACTCCGAATAAATGTCAGCGAAAGTAGGTCAGTACACAGTAGCTAGTGAGAAGACCCTACTTATTTAAACAAACGCTTAAGGCGTGTTACACATTAACGTTTCTTATTACCGTGGATTCTTGATGGCAAGCTGTAGTGTCTTAAAATTTATAATTATAATTCACACTAGCTAAGTCTCGTTTCTTGTTATGTTGGTGTTTTTTTCTTTTCTTGTTACATATCACTACATCCCATTAAGTTAGGAAACGAATGTTAACTTGTGTGCACTACACTACACTATCATACGTAAAAAAACAAAATAGACACATATTTACATATTTATCATTTCGTGCGTTCGTATCGTCATAACCTGACATAACTTGTATAACATTTTAATATAATACAAACAAGAGGTATTTTTAAGAATCAGACAGTTTATTTGGACATTTCGTTCCAACGAAGATTCGAGAAAATTTAAACATTTCTCGACCACAATGCGATTATGAATGTATAGATTATGATATGCAAAGTATACACCCTCACCAAAACATCTTCACCGAGGTAGAATAATCTCATTAACCCTCGGAAGGTAACCTTAATTTATTTAAAAG